ATCTTGGTGCTCATTTGTTTCGTTTTAATCTAATTGCTTTTATGTGCTTTGGGTGATTCTGGACAAGTCATGGACGCTGTTCATCTGGGCGTGTGCTCTACACTTAAGAGTTTGGACTCTATTCTAAAGAAGTACTGGCGAGCTCATTGCCTAATGACCTGATGGTCAATGGCCCGGCATTTATTAAATAAATAATAAAAATGTATTGAATTGTTGCCTGAAGAATGTTTAAGCTTAAGGCTAACAGAGTTTGGTACATTCTGAAAAGTTGGCAGTTTATGTTAAGGTGGTTCACATAACACGCAAGTACCTCGAGGACTTTACCATTAAAATCTTAAAACGATTAAAAATTATAAGAACAAAATTAAGATATAAGTATTACGAAATTGAAAAGAAACTGGAATCTCATCTTGACATGCAGACTTCAGTTTAACACCTGAAAACATTTTATGTTAAGAAATTATGGATGTCCTGTTAGCTTATAAATTAATCTACCCAGAAATCAAAGATATAAAATATAAAATTTTATGCTAAAATAAGCTGTTCAAAATGATAATGTGAAATGACACGAAAAAAACTATAAAGTATTATTTTATCGTAAATTAACGCAAGTTGGAGATTTATGTTCTTATTTAGAAAGGAAAAAACTTTGTTATTGAAATGTAGGTGTACACTTATCTTACTTGCAAATAATTCTCTCATGAGGCTATCATAGCATGAAATTAGTGAACCGAAAACAATACTGTATTTCCTTGCATATTCCCCATATTCCCCCCCTAGCTTTTTAGCGCCAGGTTTCGAAATTTTTTAAAATATTGTCAGAATTTTTCCCGTCCTCAGTGCGTTCAGACAAAAAGCATCTATAATTTGTAAAAAAAAAAAAAAAAAAAAAAAAAAAAAAAAAAAAATGGATTCGTGGACGTAGTCATCGTTTTCGTCTTACTAACAAAGAAAAACCCTTACAAACTAACTGCAAAGGTCACGCCGAACCTTTCTCATCGACTCATCACAATGAACAAACACGAACTGATATTCGGTTTGCGATTTCGCAGAATTAACTACACATTCACCTTCTATAATTACTTATCCATATTTAGAGGTCTAAGGAGGTGCAGAAATGATAGGCGATATTGAAGTTACAAGGAAATGGAAACGAAAATATCTTATTAGATACTCTAATGTTAATACTTATTTTTATTGGGATATAGGTTTCTTTTAAAGAAATGATATTTGATAGTTATCTGTAGTTTATCTAGGATCACTTTTCATTTGTTATGTTTTTACTGTAATTGTGTCCTTCGGAAAATAAATTATTCGCCTAATTTTCCGCTCTTGAATTTCAGACGATAAGCATAGTAAAAAGGAGGGGTGGAAAAAAAGAGTAAAAATGAGATAACGTGAGTAACTATGGTATATTAGTTTCATTAGAGATTTTAAAAAAAAATATTTTTGAGTAATCATTAAAAACTCCTTCTTCACTGATTCAGTTGAGTTGATTGAAAATTCCTTCTTCACAGATTCAGTTGAGTTAATTGAAAGTTCCTTTTTCATAAAAGCATAATTCTGCCATGATTAGGATGTACCTTTGTAAAGAATCCCATTAGTATTTTTAGTACCCATTAGTTAGAAGTCTTAATATTTAGTCTTCAGAAGTCTCCCATCTTTAAAAGCCTTAATAATTTTGAATTAAGTATAATAATTAATTGTTATTAAGTAAATTATAAAAGCTTCTTGATTAGTAACAAAAGAAGATGTTGAATGTGATATATCAAAATGCTTCACGTAAATTTCTAGAATGAGTTAATATCCAAAATCGATATCACCGTATTTCCTCGTGTATCACTCCCTAACGTTTTACTGCTAAGTTCCGAAAATTTTAGAAACATTCTCACCATTTCCCTCTTTCTCTGTAGAATAAACTGTGTTCCCTTGTTTATTTGTATTTTTATTCAGTGTAGTTAATTTGTATTTACATTTTTGTACTTGTATTAACATTTCACCTATTTTAATTTTGTACATTTATTATCTGACACGTATTTTCTGAAGATTCTTCGTTAAGCCACCTGGACATGGCAGGTGTTCTCACACTTAAGAAACTTTCCAAACATGTGATTTCACTGTACTCCTCTCATTTATGTTCCAGCCTAATTGTAGCCTATCTACTGCTGATGTGCTCGACATTTCGAAATCCGAGTCTTTTATTCGCCCCTTCTACTTCAATCACGGAGATCAGAATAAAAAGATAGGAAAATTTGAGGTATTTGTGTATTTAGATCAATTAGCTGTTTTAACTGTTTTAAAACATGAAGCAATATTATGCATACTAAGGTAAAAAAGACTGCGATTTGATGACAGTAAGGTTAATGTTTAAATGTGAAATGCATAGTTATTGTTTATTATATTATCAGAGAAATATTAAATCGCTAAAAGTACCCAGTAGTTAAAACTAGCTACCCATTAGCTAAAAGTACCCATTACTGAATCCCTGAATCCTCTGCCAAAATATATTTACTAGAATATTTGAATCTGATAATGAATGTATCCTAAAACGTGTTTTAAGTCAAAAGTTTGAAACTTGTTGGCTAGACGTAAATATAAAATTATGCATGCTAAAATATTTGTAATTAGCACATAGGTCAGGTTAAGTTTCTATTAAATAGGGTAAGCATGCAAGGGCTGTCTGCCTAAAGGGAGAGATGCCATCGTGGAGGAATTTAGAAGGAAAATTGACTTTGAATGGATATTAAAATAATGCATGTAATTTTCATTCAAATTATATTTATACATATTTCTTATGTAAAAATTTATGGTATATGCTAAATTACTGTAAATTACTATAGTCGAAAAAAGAACGTGAATGCATAGAAATTAAAGATTTGCACACGGCGAAAATGAAAAATACTAAATATATATGGGTATTTATGCTTATGCTTGTAAAAAGTATGTATCTGGCGTTAACAAAATACGTAAAATACATAAAATTATTTATAAATGTATCTGGAAATGAAGGATTTAGTCATTCATAAACTTCCGTGAAAGTTACTGTGAAGAAATTTAGTTATTAAATATATCTAAATTTATAATGATTATAAATATTATCTAAATATATAATAAATTTAACATTTAATTATAAACATAATTTGAAATTTTATCGACAAATATGTTTATAAAACTGTTTAAGCAAGACTTTTCGTACTAAAAAAGCAATCTGTTAAAAGGTATTGTAAAGCAAATTCTATGAGAAGCCTACTTAAGGAAGTAGTAAAGAAAAGTTTTAGAATATATATTGTTGAAATTAAGGGTGAAAAAGATCTGATAAGTACTAAAAGAATTATTCCGTTACATTTTATAATAACTCAATTACACGTTTTAAATAATATTAAAAAAATCCCTTTTTTTAATTCCCTTTCAAAAATATTAACAGAAAGTTAAATACATGGAAATAGCACCAATATTGAGCGTATTTCAATATTAAAATAAAAGGTGCTCTAATTTGGAATGGACCAAACAGAGCATTAATTATAAATTGACTTAGATTTTTCGATTTAAAAGATGCCTCAGAAGCTAAAAAATCATGTCATATTTGAGAAAGCTGTATAAGCTGTATAAATAGAAAAGAAATAATGCATAATTTTAATATTAATAATGCAATAAACTCTGTTCTTAATTTTTGTAACCCTTAACCGAATAAAATCGAATTACCTTATTTTTTTCTAATGTAATTAACGAAAACTTGTGAAACTATTTCATTCAAATTAAACTGTTCTGGAAAAAGTATAGCACTTAATTCCGCTCGGAATGAAATGTTGTTTAAAAATGCATTCGTGTCACATACTTAGGACTCTGAATTATTGTAGAAAAGGAAAAAAAAATACACATTTATACGTATATTTACGACGTAATTACAAAATATTTACATTCGATATATACAATGTCAAGACTTATGGTAAGTCACTGAACGTTTTGGTCTTCACGAAGGGATCGCCACCAAAGAATTTGTAGGGAGCAAAATTCCCTACAAATTCTTTGTCGTCACTGCTTCAAAGCAGTGAATGGGGAAAACCGATTAGAGCCTGTCCTCTTACTTCCTACCCCATGACTTCAATCCTCCGATGTCTTTCTTGGAAAATGCGGTTAAGACTTATTTATGTGACGCGCCCCTGGAGCTTTACAAGATAATTGAGCCAGAGAAGTTGCGCAGTGAATTACCGTCAGATATATTTTCTATATATCCATCAGATATTGTAATGTTAACATTACCAATTAACATATTCTTAACATATTCTTATTGGAATATAGGTTAATAGAAATAATATTGTTAGAGGTACCAGTAGTTTATCCATGACTACTTTTCATTTGTTATGTTGTTACTATAAGCGCATCCTTCGGAAATTAAATGATTCGCATAATTTTTTCCTCTGTATTTTTAATTTGATGTTTTGATGCTTAATATAATGAGATAAATGATCTTTATGTTACGAGTTGCCAATTTTAGTTATTATTTATAGTAATTTTAGTTATTAATTTCAGCGTCAGCAGCGACATCAACGTCTTGGTTAATTTGATTCAAGATTAAAAAAGCGAAGGAAAAGAAGGGAGAAGAGAAAAAAAGGTGTGTGAGTGTGTGGGAGGGGGGTTGACGTACTTAGCTAAAAAATGTTTACGAGTAATGCTTTCGAAAATGAGAGTAATAAAGAAGTCTGACAGAGATCATTGAGCAGTCAAAAATTTTAGTTATTTCCGTGCTCTCAATAGTTTAACATAAATATTAATAGATTAAATAAATTATTCGAGACGGATCATTAGGGATTGAAAACAAGGGTTGAATGTTGGGCAGGACACAAGTACGTTGATTGAATATTTTAATTATTTTGATTGAACATTTTAAACACTATTCGATTCGTCAGGGAACTGGGGGTTCTCTAGTATTATAATGAATTATGTAATAACATATTAAGTTCTTTGCTCAAAAGAGAATGTCTTAAAAATCTTTTTCTTACCAGTCCTGCTATTGAACAAAACAGTATAGTACTAGAGATCGCTAGCCATATAGCTACTCGCACGGAGGTTGTTTTCCACACCTTTCTGGATATCTTCAGAGCAGTAGAATTCAGAACAGGATCGGTATCATCTTTCTAAAAATAGGAAATACATTATTAAACAGTTTCACAGAACTGTTTTCATTTGCGGTTTTGCAGCTGATGATGGTGGTTCGGTAAAACCATCGAAACTAGTCCTGTGAAAATTTTGTAAATATAACGCTGATTTTTGTTGTTTGACTTCTGAATTAGTTTCACAGAAGTTCATAGTTTGTATTTATGTAATTAAATATAAAAATGTCCGTACTTACGAACTAGCTGTTAAGTCTCCATACAAAGATAACTTATAATAACTAAGTAACTTATGAACTACTATCTCCAGCGTATTTAATTAAACCTTCATGGCGCAAACGGTTTATTGATAAAACATCTTTATACCACGGGCTAGTCCCATTACTTATATATTTACATTTAATATAATTAGAAAAGGCAAAGCCCTATGTAAAAATGCCAGGCAAGAGAAACAAAACCAAATAAATAAAATAATAAAATATTAAAAAGACTGAAAAAGGCTCTGAAAGGGTTCAGATTTTAACGACCACCCAGAACAGCTCTTTTAAAGTCTAATATGGTTTATCAGTATAGAATATCGATAGAGATGTCCCAGGTGAAATAGCGAAATATGATATGTATTTTAAAAAGTGAAAAAATATATAATGCAATTGTATAAAAATATTAAATGTTTTTATTTAGACATATGATGAATTAAATACATTTTTATTTAAATCAATTCGATTCAGAAATAAATAATATTTTTAAGAAGTGTATTTGTTGCTTTTAAATAGTTAAGTTTGTTAACGAAGAATAATTTCTGGCATTTTACCGAATGGAAAGTGAAACAATGCAAAATCGTATTGAGACTAATAGACCTTTTGGATTAATAATTATTAAAATAATAATTAATGATGTTACTAATTATTAATTGCAATAATAATGTTTTAACTAATTAAATCTGTTGTTAATCAATAATATTTTGACTTGTCTTAAATGTCTGACTATAACATCAGAACAAGGCTACGAAATTCATCGTGGCAAGGTGTACAAGATTGCGCCTGCCGTTGGCAAGAGCCCCGATACGAGTCATGACTTTTTTCTTTTTAGTTTAATGTCCACTTTTATTCAAATAATTTTAATATGCTTAATTAACCATTTAATAATTTATTTTAAGATATTAAAAGCTTAATTAAACATATTAACATACTTGAATTTAAATTTCAATTTGAAAATTTAATATTTAGCTATCAGTATATTTAAATTAAAAAATAGAGCCTACAAAAATTTCTCGCATATATCAAACTTTAGTTGTTATATGGAAAATAAATATAAATTTGAATTTTTTCCTTTTGCATTACTATTATTATTGTTTAAGTGTGTTTTCATAAATATTTTGTAAGCCAAATTTAAAACTGTTTTTACTGTGTTGAGAAAAAGTTTTCTTTTTCTTAAAAAATAATCAAAAATTCTGGCCCGTCAGCTGTTTTTAGACCGTGCTTTCGGCCTGCGTGTTATTTGAGTTTGAGGCCACTGGTCTACAGTACACATTACAAAATTTAATTCTCGATTATAATTTATATGAAAAATAAAAAGAGTTCATAATTTATATACTGTCTTTTTTAAATATTATTATTAAACTCACTAATTACTAGATCATATCTCGTAATCCAGCAAATGCACTAACATTTCAAATATTTATATAAATGCTTCTCAGTATAGTCTGAGTCAGCACAGTCTCAGTATATTTTACTTATAAATGCTTCTCGGTATAGATGCATTTTCGTACTTTACATTTGATCCATAATACTATATATATATATTAAAAAACTTTTTTCTAAGCTTTTAATAAAAAAATGAATAAATGTCACCTTCAAGCATAGCCAGATGTAACCGGTCCATGACGGAATGCAGGCTGCAAGTATCAGCAGTAAAGCGACACCGTAAGTGACCCAGAATTCCACGGTTCTGTCAAAAAAGAAAATTAAAAACTAATTACGCCATAACAGACGAAATAATGGTACTTTAATGAATAAAAATAGAGAGAAAATATTACTTATGTTTATATCCTTAAGATAATGTATTGTTCTATCTGAGAAAGAGGAAAGTATTCTTTTATTCTCATATCCGAAATATAAAATAATGCATTTTCAACTCTAGCCAATAAATTTGTGGATATAATTCACATATTTTTATTTCTATATTTCTTTTATAAATTTGCATGTATCCAACCACGTTGGTTACATATTTAGTTCTCACTGCATGAATTATACGTGCGTGAATATATGCTGCATAAAATATGCAAATCGTAAGATGAAAATTTGATGTCGCATTTTAAATCAAAATTCATTTTCGAAAACATTGTTATCGTTTAAGATTCTGAGTAAGCTATTAAGAAAGTAAAATTAATTTTGTTTTGTTTTATTTGATTATGGCAAAGAACGCTAGTGCTGTCTACTTAAGGGATGACTTCGTGCAGAACTTTCTAAGGAAAATTGCTTCGTATCCACGATACACATAGGGAAGCCATCACAATGACCATACAGCCAGCTCTTTCGTCTGGAATCGAACCCTGTTCGAACTACTATTATTCAGTGATTTTACTGTTTGGCCGCTTGGGGTTGGCAGCAAAAAACGAATCTATAAAAATAATAAATTCTTCAGATGTGAAATTTTACCAAATTAAATACTTAATTACATAAATGCTGTACTGTATCGAATATAAGATGACCTTATTTATAACAGATCTTTAAAGAGTTTTGCAATAAAATAAGACAATAAAATAAAATAATTGGTATACGAGTTTGGTATGTTAAAGAAGTTCTAGAGAAGAAATAATTAAATAATCTAAATACTTTATTTTAAAGTAAAACTAAGTAAACATGATTTATTTTGACTTTGAAGTAAAGCGATAAACTTTGAATCATTTTAATGTAATTTTTAAGACCTCTGCATATAACAAGGTGTAGGTTACAGAAGGGCATTTTGAACCAATGTTTTAATAAAATACCCATACACTTATTTAATCATACAGTTTATGCTACTAAAATTATAATTACGGGCACAAAATTAATAAAAAAATATTTGACCTAATTTTAGTCGTCGTCAAAAATCGAATATCTTGCTAATATTATGTTATAAGCAAAGTAATTAAAGTAATATTATGTTATAATTAGTTTTCTTATTATCAGCTTTTCAAATTCTTGATGAAAATTCAAGCCTTTTCTACTTTTGTTGACATTTTATATTAGATACTTTCAATACAGTGACGACATTAAATTGGGGAAGTTATAAAATACATTTTAATTCCTACTTACTCGGACATGATGAGCAGATGTATGACGGTTATGCCTCCAAAGATAAATAGCATGCACAGCAAATAATATTTAAACAAAGGATCTGGCTGGTTAAGATAAGGTTTTTCAGTTCCAGGTTCTCGAAATGTGAGTAAAAGTGGCTGAATGCCAATTCTGGAGAACCACTGGCTGAAAATATGGAAACATAATTTAAGATTCTTCAATGATTTAATATGAAAATGGAATGCATATGAAGGCAGTTTCAAGTCATGCAGTAACCAAACTAATGGCTGACTTGCTTGATAACTGCATGTTTCATTCATAACAGTCAATATAAGTATTAAAGAATTATCTTCCAGAAATTTCACTGAAACATCTTCAGAATATACTATGAAAGAGCTGTAGCCTAAGTTCTTATATCGATATCCAATTAAAAGATAACCCTTAATAAGTAGGGAAAGCCCTGAAAGACATATTTGTGTGGAACATTTTTCACCCCTAACAGTGTTGTTCGTTGTAAAAGATGGTAGTAAGATCACATCTGCGGGTTTATAATGCTTTTCCGGTAACCATTGGTCATCGTTTTAAGTACGTATACCCTGATTCTTGCTGAAAACTTCTGTATATTTGTGGGGTATACTTATCTATACTCAGGGCCAGAACTTGGCATTTTGCTGCCCGGTGCAATTTCAACGAGTCCTAATTTCTGTTGCGTGGTACCTTCCTAAATTTTGAAAATATTTCCACCCCTAAATTCAGTTGCTCACTGTCTTTAATAAATTCTAAAAAAAATCCAATTTCTAAATTTTGATGCTGAGTGTTTCTCTAAACTGTAAAAAGTTTGGCTACGCTGAACGCCTCCGGTGCAGTCGCTCAGGATGCACCGGTTCTGGCACTTGCCTCTTCGTACCAAGAGTAATGGATACGAATAACGAAAAATGCAAATTTTGCCATTCTAGAAATTTTATTTAAATCACTTGGAAAAATCCAGTGAATATTTTGGTTTTCTTTCATTTAGGATAAGCAAAATCAGCTAATAGCTAAATCCAGAATATATTATCTCTTCAGAGGATGTCATTAGAAAACATAGAATTAAAGCTTCTGTTCATTTGCAAATTATGCCACCAACAGAACCTAAATTTATACCTCAATAAGGGTACTGCGTCATCAATAAACATACAGTATTCGAAAAAATGAAAAACTTTCATTAATTTTTTTATTTTTAAATTTAAAACATTGAAAACTGAGTAACAAAATTTTTCTTTGAGGATGAAACTCGCCCTTTGTTTTTCAGTATTATATGATCCTAGTTTTAAGTTCTGTTTTACAATTAGTTAAAAGTTAAGTTCAAGAAATAGCCTTGCACTAGATACCGTCCCGAGTTAGCCTTCACTCGAGTGTAAGCCATGCGGGACTTTGATGCTAAGTTTGTCGGATGGTTTCTATGTGACAGCAGTAGCTATGCTGTAGATTTTCTGATGCATAACATGGTAACGAGTATGAGATCCTTAGCAGAAGTCTTAAATACACCAACCACGTTGTGAACAGTCAGGAATAGATAAAATTGAAACAAACATGACGTGAGCATAGCAACAGTGTATTTAGTTGCTTAAAGTAGTGTATACTTATGTAGGAGAATATAACGATTAAAAAACTTGAACTATTAATAATCAAAGCAAAACCATTTCAAAACAGAAAAAAAGAACACTTTGATTATGATGTCTGACATGAAACAAAATACGCGAGACAAAAAAATAAATAAATAAACGAATACCTAAATCGTGTGATTAGAAAATAAATTACAGAATTGAGAATCTACTCATGCTCAGTTGTGATGAGTAATAGCACTGCACACAAGAGAGAAGTGTGCCCCGCATTGATATAACAGCCCAAGATGAGAAGTGTTAAGGTACTATTTTGATGGCTGTCTGCAATCAAATAAAGTGGGTTTAAAACTGCTTGTGCATCACATAGTGTCACGCAACGATTACAGAGGTAAGCAAAAAAAATGCATCAACACAGAATAAAATAAAGTTACAAATTCACAAATGAAAAGGAAGAAATAAATTTACAGAAGAAAGAGAATGCTGTTTTGTCTTGAAGAAACACATACAGAAGGGAAGAAACTTAATGTTTAAAGAATATAACTGGGAAATAAGTTCTTTTCTTTCTTCTGTAAGTTTTGGAAAATAGAACTATAGGATTCTAGTTAAATTGAGTGTCCTTGGCAACTAGAAACTTGAGAAGAGTGTAGCGACTATTCGCTAATCTTCAGAAAACTACAAGAGCAAAGTCCAAAGAAGGGTTAAAATACCCTTTTATTTAACTCAAAGAATATTTCCCACTTGCCCCTCTCAGGCTTACAGGTTACCCTCCATTTGAGCTTAAAATAAGAAATTAAATTATTCTAACTAACTAAAACTTAGCCAAAACTGTACACAAATAACTAACCGAGTTGACCCTTATTTAAATCTTACCGACGACCACTAATAAGTAAATAAGAATATTGCCGAATGTAGTAAAATTAGTTTAAATCAACGATGTAAGCAGAAGGCAGAAAACGCTCTACTGAGAACTTCTGAACTATTCTACGGAATTGACCAACACTTCTATAAATACTAGTTCGATCTCATTTACATAAAACGCGATACTAAAAACTCATTCCGACAATGGGAAAGAAGAAAGTAAAGAAAAGGGTTTCAAAATTAAAAATAACTAAATGGTGTCCCAAAATTAACGCAAGATTTGAATTCAATATAAAAGAGAGTTTTTAGTCTTTAGATATTTTTTTTTAAGTGAATCATAAAGTACATAGAATAGGGTTATTTATGGAATAGCACATCAGGCAAATGGCCTCCACGCCTTTGCTGGCACATATGCACTCTTTCATCGAAATTTTTCATGACCTTTGTGGATAATTGTTGCTTAATTTCGTTCATGCAGCGTTTAATTTCCTCTTGTAATGCACGTGTGGTTGTGGGATTGTTGGCATAGACCTTTGACTTCAAATAACCCCAAAAGAAGAAATCTAATAGTGTTAACTCACATGATCTAGGGAGCCAATTCTGATCACCGAAACGAGAACTTACACGATCAGGAAATGTCTCATGCAGTAATTGAATTGTTTCATTGGCTGTATGGCATGTGACACCGTTTTGTTGAAACCACATATTGGCCACATCAATGTCATCCAATTTTGGCAGAAAGACCTGTGTTATCACGTCGCGATATCGAGCATCATTAACAGTTGCTGCTTGACCAGCCTCATTCTCAAAAAGGTATGGTCCGATGATGCCTCCTGCCCCAAATCCACACCAAACAGGGGCCCGTTGTGGGTGCATTTGTTTTTCGCTAATCACACGTGGGTTCTTTTGAACCCCAAACATGGCAAATTTGGCGAATTAACAAAGCCATCGAGGTGATAATGTGCTTCATCGCTTAGGATTATTTTGCTAGAAAAACCAGCATCCACTTTTTGATGATTAATAATCCATTCCACTCTCTGTTCATGGTCATTAGGCTTCAGTTGTTGTGTTAATTGAATTTTGTAAGCCTGAAAGCACAGATCTTTAGTGAGTATACGGTGTAGAGAGCTTCTTAAAATTTGCAATTCTTGTCCACGACGCCGAATTGATGTTCCTGGGTTTTCACCAACACTCTCACGCACTGCTTCAATATTGACATTTGAACGGCTTGGTTTTGGACGCCCGTCCAAGTGATCCAGTCTCCGCGAATTTTCAATTAATCTTTTCACAGTTGACGACGTTAAAACACTATTTTTACCATATTTTGCATAAAATTTTCGAACTGCGGCCGCCAAACTTTCATTATTTTAAAAATATTCTTCAATAATGAAGACACGTTGTCGTATCGTATAACGCTCCATTTTCACTAACCCTAAACTCTCGGCTTTCAAACTGTTCTTTTTCAGGGTTGCCAACAACTTAATGCAAAAATAGCGCCAAATTCAAATCTTGCGTTAATTTTGGGACACCCTTTATTAGGAAATTAAAATAATCCCTACAGAATAATTGTTCGACTTTTTACATTCTCATGAAGCTACAAGAGCACAAATCTGTATGAAATAGCCTAAATCTCTTCAGATATGAGTTTGGATTGTTAGAAATTTAGTGTCCAGTTAGAAACTTAGTAATTTTCAAAACTGAAAAATAATTGAGTCTGTGAGGAACAAAAGGGAAAAGTAATTTAGTCAAAGAGGCAGCAGAAGAATTTTTGTATAATTTATTCCATTTGAGAATTGCTTTATACACACTTTATTTCTTGAAGAATGACTTACAAAGAGTTACCTTGATGAGTGTTCACATCAAGGTTTGTAGCTTCTATAGTACAATTTCTCAACCAATCAGCCCTTTCATTTCCTAGATTACTAGTGCGGCCACGTACATGAGAAGAGATGATATCAATACCTTTATATTTAAAAACTGCAGGAGAATTGACATTGAATTTATTACAGGAGAAGATATTCATAAGAGAATATAAGGATGAAAGAGAATCAGTAAAAATTAGAAAGTTACAACATAAAGAAAAATGATTAGATGTCCACTTAACTGATTTATTGATGCACAGTAATTCGTTCGTAAAAAGATCTTCTCACGCAAAAATGTGTTGCTGTGTCAGATTTTTGTGCAAGCGACAGAACCATTAAGATTAGGTAACATACAGATATGGAGTCGTGGACAAAGATTCATGCTTAGAGAATCCGTGTCAAGCACAAACATATGCATCCAGAGAACTGCTAGGCCAGCAGATATTTTATAGCTCTTTTGCCATCTTAGGCATGAAGAGCATTTCTTTTGTAACACCCCTTCCTTTAAATAAGATAACGTAAAGTCAGTGCTTACAACGGTATAACACTTTTTTTCTCGTGATATATCTTTTTGCTATAGTATCTGAAAAAAGAATAATATAAATATTAACTCTGATAAATGAATATTCTGAAAACAGTAATAAATGCTATTTCATACAGATTTCAATTTTATTTTGTATTATTTTAGTAGATGGTTTTAACTTTATTTTACACGTTTCCATAATTTTTCTTTTACATGCATCTTCGGAATAGCTGTTAATTCTTTCCCAAATTTTCTAAAACAAAACATTTTATGGTTTTGTATATCAGTTTTTGTTTCATCGTTCATACATACATATATTCCATTTTTCTAAAACGTTGTTAAAAGAACTCTTAACATAATTAGTATAGAGCAGTGCGACAAGCTAACAAAAGAAAAAAGAAAAGGAAGAAACTGCTCTTAGAAAGTGAAAGATCAAATGCGAAACCAACGTTAGATTTTTTGGTACTACGAACGGAGGGTGAATATCATAAATCTACCCTCCTTTATGTTAGTTTATAAGAGTGGATGGAAAACGAAAGCAAATATCGAAATGGTAGTCAAAAGCTATGTCTGATTCGGGTTACATCCAGAATTAAATCGTCAAAGCTCTTTTGGTATAAGGCTATTTTGAAACATCACCTGTGATCTGGTGTAATCCGTTTAAGATGTGTTTTGATATACTCTACTTTATCTATATTTTTGATAGATTATTTTTGAAATGGAACTGAAATGTTTAACAGAGTTAAGCAGGTTTAGTCTTGCACTTAAGTAACTGAAAAACTAATAGCACTATACTTCTTTTTCCCCGAATAATGTTAGAGACGTTTATTCAGATACTATTAGAATTCTAATCATATCCGTGACTTATTTCTCTAACGGCAAAATTAGTGTAGTTTAGCTCACTAATTTTCACATTAGTGGATTAATAGAAAATAGTAATTTCTTGGAAAGTGATTTCTGTCATTTAGGGCCAAAAATAAAAATTAAAAAACATTTTTTTTGGGTTAACAGTTTATTTGAAGCTACAAAAATGACTTCAAGGATTCAGATGTAATTTGAAAACGCGTAAAATAATATACCGTTATTCAAAAGTCATATCACAGTCTCCTTCTCGTTTATATTTTTCAAAAGAAGAACATAATATTTCAATTAAAAAAATCCCCATACAGGACACCGTGTGATACTTACTCTCGTTTGCTGAGAGCCATCTTGTCAATGGTGTTCTCTAAAATTTTATTCACTTGACTCACCATCTTGCGGTATCGAAGGAGGCTGAAATGGAAATATATTATTAATTGCTTTGAAACTGGAAGAGGAGGTTTTATTTAACTTTAAAAATTTTTTCAAAAAATATTTTACTGAAATCTATTACTTGCAGTTCATAGCGAAGAACATCAAAATGATGGTTTTAAATAAGATCAAAATTTACATATGCCATATATTTTTTATATTTGTAAATAAGGAGTACTTAGATACTTTTCTTATAGCATCCTTCATGATATATTTTATTGCAACTGATTTGAATAGCCGCATACTAAAGCGAACACATGGAAGCGCGAAGAGTTAAGAAATTTTACATTTTTAGATTTCTTGAGGAAAGCAAAAGCTTAGTCTCAATAGCATATTAACCCCCTGAAAGCGATACCCGTGAATAACACCTTAATCTTGTAGAGTCATTAGGTTATTCTGAAGCAGGAGACATGAAAAATGAGCAATTCCACCGCCGGCATTCAAACCTAGATCTCTCGAATATGAGCCAAATGTGCTACCGTTACACCACGGAAGCATTCGAAAAAGGAGGGAGAAAATACCTAAAGGGCGACTGGGGATTAGGGGACCCAATTACCAAATCTGGTGTCGACGAATTATCGTTTACCACCTTTAAGTTCGGTTCGGTGGCACTGTAGAGCCATTAGGTTATTTTGAAGTAGGAGACGTGAAAAATGTGTTCCTTGCTGAGACTCGAACCTGGATTTCTCGATTACACGCCGAGTGTGCTACCATTAGAAGGATGCTATAAGGAAGGAGGAAACACCGTGTAACATTTTATTCTGAATATACGTGGAGAACGTCATTACCGCATTGGCAGAAACTGGGATTTCAACACTAGCAGTTTCGCAGGAAGAGATGGTATGAATTTTTTAGGCTTTAATAAATTTTGTACCCGTGGTCAGAAGGTTAAAAGGAATCCGATTATAAAGATTAATTATTAAACGGGTAAGCACGGTTAACACTCAAAAGATCCTATGCATATGCAGCACAGATAGGTTCCTCTTAAAATCATAGTAAGATTCAGATATAAATTTTCATTTTTCTTCCAGAGAAAAGTATTATGCTCTTTCGCTTCCGCTTCATGCTGCATGCAGTTGAAAAATATGAAGAATACCGACCTAAACAATGAATTCATTAATTCAAAACTTTTACATAATCTGACAACTTATTTAGATGTTCCAACGGCTCATTGGCTCTTGGTTTTTCATTTTACCCACATTATTTTTTTTGTACTATATTTTTTGTACTATAGAAGCATTTTTTGTAGTTTCCTTATTGCCAACTTATTTGCTGCATTTGAGACAAAATATCTGAGTCTAATATAATCCAGTATCCTTAGTTTAGTTTTTTTGCAGATGCATATTTCAATGTTTTGTTAATTACATTTGAAATTCATCGCCGCCGGAGGTGATTTTAGTAGGAACTGCATTGCATCTCATCGGCAAAACTTTTCTTCTTCATGTTATTAGGGATCAGTTTAATTGTGAATAACTTGTTTCGTGGTTGCCATCTTATTTCTTCGATAGATGAAGCCAGTAACTCGACTCCTCTTATTTTTATCGCCTGAGCACAGGATTCTCTTTCATCATTTGCATTTCTGCAGCTGAAGAACAGTTCTCTACATTTAAACCTCCAAAACTAGCTCCGAAAATTTATGAATATTACACTGATTCTTGTTGCCTTAACACCTTCAATAACCGTTACTCGGTGTGTTATTTTAATTCATATTGATTAAGTTATCTCAGTTCCCATAAAAATTTCCCAAGGAGACGACAGTCTCATGATCAACAGATTTCATAATTAGATCCATATAGGATCATCATGAAAGACAAGTTTCGTAATCAACCATGCTGCAGTCAGAATAATTATTCCGTCCAGTCTACATCTAAAGATCATTTTAAGGATTTGTTGAAAAGGTCAGCTCTAAGATCTAACTTCCGATAATCTGTATTTCGCGCATAAGAATTTAATGTTTTGATTAACTAGCACTACAATTTTATTCTTAAAACTTACGGCCATAAATATTTCACTGAAAAAAATAATACTTGAATCACTATGTGTATTTTTCCAGTAAAATATTTCCCCAAAAAAATTTGTAATAAAAATTTGCAAATTTATTTTGTAATAAAGCATGTTTATTATTTCAAAATGTATCCTAAATATTGTCTAAACAAAATATATTGTATTGTCGATGATGCTAAGGTACATACTAAATTAATTCTGGCATGTAAAAAATGGCTCCTTTGAAGTAAAAAATAACTTCGTTAAATAAATACGATTCTTAAAATATCTTCTCATTATTTATAAATACAAAAAAAAATGAACATAAATTGCAAATTTTTAATAAAAACAAAAACAAGAAATAGAACATAAGTATAGAAAGTATGCGAAAACCAAAAGTGCTACTATATTTAATTGAAGGAGAAAATATGGCTGTCTGTTTTATGCGAAAAGTACTTCAAATTTCGTTCTCACTCATATACAACCCGACTTTTATTTCTAATAATTTTAATTCAATTTTTGTGGTTTTGGTGGTTTTCCCATGTGCAATGTAAATACGAAGCTGTTCTTCTCAAAATATCCTCGACGAAGACATGCCTCCTCTTAGGTAGCCTTTGAGTGCAACCTAAGTAACCAGAACTAATTTGATATCGTTCGACAGTAAGCAGTTTTGTTTTTCCCGGAGAAAAGTATTTTAGAATTTTCCACCAGACAAGGCCCGGGTCCGAATCCTGGAAGAAGGCATGGATGTATTTTTCCGTCCCTTCATAGGAGGCAACAGTGGTTCTCATATTAGGTACCTCCAATACGAAGGAGACCACCGCTTTAGTGATGGCCAACCCCTATAACCGGCTAGAGCCCGCCATTGGAAAAAAAAATATATTGTACAATTTACTTTATCTGTGACCTTTAAGAAAAACAACTGACTATACCATTAATTTACTTAAAAGCGTTGTTGATGAAGAATATAAAATTATAATAAAAATCTTTAATAAAACATTTGCTGTTTTCTACTACGTTGTGAGTTAATTGGTTAAAAAGGGATTTTTCAGAAGCATTTTTTGTACTATAGTAGACGGCGCCGCCGAAAACATCGCGGGAAAAACGTCTCGGAGAAAATAATGCAAGGCGAAAACATCGTCATGCAAAAAACCGTCGGAGGAGGAAAAAAAGCAATGATAAAAACATGGCAGTTTTGAAACATCGTAATATAGAACATCGTTTTAAACACATGTTTTGACCTGCGGTGTTTTTGAATCCCTTTATTTTCGACGACAATGTTTTATAACCACCATATTTTAAAACTGCGATGTTTCTTTCTCGCTTTTTTTTTTTTTCCTCCTAGGATATTTTATACGACGATGTTTTCGCCTTGCGTTGTTTTCTTGGCAACGATTGCGTCTGCGATGTTTTCGCCTGTAACCCAGTAGACGCCGCTTCATGTGACCACATTTAAGATTATCATTCCGGGGGGGGATATTGCTATCCAATTGTTGAAGTTCCGCCTGTAGTATACAAAGAGATGGAGAATACATTGCTTATTGTGATAAAAATAAAAAAAAATAATAAATATAGTCAAAGTATTGTAGAAAAAATTTTTTAACTAAAATAAAATCGTCAAGTAAATTTAAAAACAAAAAATTAAAATTGCCAAATGGTACAGAAATTACGTTGGTAAACTGCTTGATTTCAATTTCAGTTAAGCATTTAAAAACTTGGCCCAAAAAATAGATCTAATGATGTATATTTTCATAACCTCTATCAATTTTGAAGGTGATCAAACGCAGGTCGCCTCTTCATCAAGAGTTAAAAAGAACTCTGAGGGGGGGGGGACTGCCCTGAAGATATTTACGCCAAACTTTGGTTGTTGCTTTGAGTAATTGTAAATTTTACATTAGCATGCCCTTCTTCCAAAGAGGGCTACTCTCAGAGTATTAAGATTAGAGGTATAGCATCGGCCCAATAAGTTCCACACATGTTATGAATGGTTGATGTATTTAACTTTTGCATTAAAGATATTATGAATAGTTCATAAAAAAGCTTTTGCGTTTTTCTAATAAAAGTGCTGTGAAAATATTTATTTATTTGTTTCCATTTACGTTTGTATTCACTTACATACATCCAATTGCAATTCTGAAGAATATTTCTTCTCATCTTTTAATGTTATCAAAATAGCCGTGGAAAAGTGTGTAATAATATTAAGCGACGTCATTGAAACACCCAAATGAAAGTCAGCAACTGTCAAAATTATAAAAGATACAATTTTGCTTTGAATGAAATTGCATCTTTCATAGAGACAGGCTCGTAATAGTAGAAATAATAAAATTTTGGTAGTTAAATCATGAAAGAAAAAAATATTTTGAAATCTATGAACTAAGTTATCCTATCGTATTTAAGAACCCAGGGACTTAAACGCAGGCACGCCCTCTTTTAAACACTTAGCGTTATCAAGCTGAATATTATATCGGCCTTATCATTCCGTTTAGTTTACATGCGATAGCAAATTAAGCCCAAGAGAATTTTAAAAATGTCTTATGGTGAGTAATGTTACATCTAACCTAGTTTTTCTTTCTGATAAGGGGTAAATGATTCGATGTTTTACCGTTAATAAATCAAACATAAAACTTTTAGGACAATCTTAAAAATACTGTTAAAAAATTAACACAATTCTTCGCTACAAGTGCAAAATATTTATTAAGACTTCGAAGAGCTAGATATGTTATAGCTTACAGAATAATCTAAGTAATATAAATTATAGGCAGTTTAACTTTCTTACCCTCCTTTTTAAAGATTAATTGAAGAGAATAAAATTGAATTTAAATTTCGCATCAAAGTTGAAATCATCTTCGGACTCAGTATAACAGTTTAAGCTTTTAATTGTTGTCTTCGCAATTTTTACTAGTTACCATCCTGCTAAAGATTATTATTGGAAAATCATCCAGTTGATAACGAAAACAATGACGATTATCGAAAGGTCAATCAGGCAGAAAAGTAGGGTC